GCACGGGAAGCATGAGATAAAACTAAAGTGGTTGCTAGCTGCAGGTACCAGAAACCGCAATAGGCGAGCATATCAGATTGCTGACAACTGTCGTGGATTAAGTACACGTTCAACACACATGAAGCGGTGAATTTCACGATAGAGAATAAGCAAAATTTCTAAATGAAACTGACCGAGAAAGTAAAGTGGTCGCCCAATAGATAGTAAAGCTATGTCCAGGTCAAGAGCTCTATCAGTTAAACACTATAGTAACAAAACCAAAGTAAGGCCGATGCGTCATGCGCTTATTTCAGTAGCGTGCACAGATTAGAAATAAGCACGAGGGTGTTTGTAAATGACTTGGAAAGTAAGCAACTTGGTCACCGTATGAGCGACACTTGCTTCTCCACAGTCAGAGTATTCAGTACATGATTCTCTTCACAAGAGCATACTATTATCTATCGGGATTGCGCTAAGTGTCAAGGCTGCGCGTTCACTTCTGGACTGGATCACGGTTAGTAGCCGACTGCACTGTACATCTGGATAGTTCAGTACGGGTCAACAGCTACCTGTTAAGCCTCATCCAGCAGTGGTCAGATGATGTCGGTCGCTATCATATTGTCTCGAAGGTCGTGTGCTCAAATCCCACCTCTGTCGCCTCCATTTATTTATATCATCCGCCAGTCCTTTGATCAACCGCTTCCCCCTTCCGAAAAATCGTTTGTGAAGGTATGAATGTAAAAGAATGATGAAACAATCTCCTCTTTCTTTATGTTTTGGAGTGGTGCGACTAACCTTTGAACTAACACCAACGTTCGCGGCATAAACAGGTGCAGGTGGTCCTCCAAGTTGGGGGTTCGACCAGAATTGGTGTTTCAGTCGGTAAAAAATGATAGAAGAGTAATTAATCTGAGTAAATGGGCCTCCACTTCGCTTCACTTGCTGCCTTGCGGCTAGATTCTTGTCAGAACTAAAGGCTTTGGTTGAGAACCCTAACCGTTCTCCAGCTTAGTGGCTGGACACCCAAGCAGCAGGAATAAAGCTATCAATAAAAATCAGTTTCCTTTAGGTGTGCATATATGTGCTATATGCTTTATATTATATAACTATTCAGACTGTTTCCTGAAATCCTTGATCGTTTTTTCATGGAAAATTATCTGTAGTTGAATCCAATTCTGCTGATTTATTCGGAATCTTTCAAACGAAACTCAGTTTTTGGTCTTTTCTCTTGACAGAGGCTGCTAATGTGTACAGATGTTTTCATTTCTTCGTCTGCCTTGGCGTGCAACTAGTCGTTATTTTTACGCTACCCAAGCCGGCACACAAGTGAGGGTAAGATTTGCACCAAGCCCTACCGGTTTTATGCATATCGGAGGATTACGAACGGCTCTCGTCAATAAGTTGTTCGCATTGCAGCAAAATGGAAAATTTATCCTACGGATTGAAGACACTGATAGAGTAATTGATCAATCGCTATCTGTAATTTGAAACTACTTGACAGACGCGATACCATCCAGAAGCCCTAAAAGACATTATTCGTTCGTTGGAATGGGCGAACCTTACTTTTGACGAAGGCCCTGGTGTTGGTGGGGATTATGGTCCATACTTTCAGGTAAGAACCACGCTTCACTCCTTACGTAAAGTAACGTCTGTTGATTGGATTCACTGCCTTTTTTCTTCGGAGATTGCGTCAGTGGAAATATCCTTACCGTTCTTCCGAATCGGAGCTCANTCCGCATTTTCCATCACGAATTAGTTCACTAGTCCTCGAATCTCGCCATATGTGGGCATTGATCGCTTTGATTCCTCCCACCCACCCCCATCTCCAATGAAATACCGCTTGCGGATCCTCACAAACTTCCAACAACAGTCTAATAAATTTTCCAGGGATTGAGTTTCAAATAGGAGTTAATTCGTTAGTTCCCATAGTGGGAAGATCTTGAGGCTGGTAGTATAAATAAACGAAAATGGTCATCATGAATTTTGGCGCAATCCAACAGTCCATGTTTTTTGACTAATGTGTACTGTATACACATGAAACTTATTTGCGTTGTTACCGTTTTGTATTATGTGATCGAACTGTAAAAACTGCATTCCATAAAATAAATTTGGTGTTGCTGGACTTCGCAAATGTGTCCGATCCAGTGATCAGGATGCATTCTAGTGTTGTTTTGGGCATTCAGCGGGAGATGTGCAGTGATGAGTGCACAGTTCTCTTTTACTGTATATAATCACTACTTCGTATTTGAAAGTAGTCAATAAAGGTATACAATACGTGGTAAATGCATGACTCAACAAAATTTCCCCGGAAGCATACAATCGTTTGCGCGGTTCTTGCCGCTCGTCAGGCATGTGTAACCGGTAACCTAAGCCCCGCGGGACTTGGAGTAGGGCAAACCACATAAGGCCCCGGTAGGACAGGTATGGTATTGAACCGGACGAGAGCAAAGTTGGGTAGCGGTGGCGGGCTCCAACCTCGGGCCTTAGGGTCCAAAGCACGCCAACGTGACAGCGACTAAACCCCGGCTCCATCGAGTGAGAGAACGGGGTAGAAACAATTGAATGGTGCTTAAATGCACAGACACCAGGTTTTGGGGTGAATGAGATGTGGAGGGAATAATAGCTCACCTAGGGGAATTGAGCAAAAATCATGATTCCAAACCAATCATGAGGAGTCGTAAGGACCACACGTAACTTCCTGGTTGTGACAGTGGTCACCGGCTCGATTTGGCATCAAGGTGTATTGGGTTCCTTGGACGTTTGACCCCGTCCAACGGGCGTATGATCCGACGAACCGGACACTGACCCCCAATGGGTTGAGGTTTTCATACGCCGCCCCGCTTCTTTGCGGGTCAGGCTTTGGTTAGCCGCGTATTCCGGTTGTGAATTCCCAAAAAGGATTCACCTGACTTGGTCTGGGAGACCTGGCAGTATTCCGCCCACATGCAAATCATGGAGCGTTTTTCTCTTTCATAAAGATTATTGTACCGCGATTTGTTTGGCACAGTCTGAAGTCAGACCTGTGTGAAAAATATAAATATGGATAAAATTGAGGAACTGAAGGTGCATAGCGTCTGTAGAACAATCAATTTGGGTTTCAAATAAACCTATGGCAAGAGGCGAAGTGGAATGGGAAAATTTATGTTAGTAAGAGTGCCTAGAGGTAGTCATTCCGTTTTGTTTTTGTAGTACTCATAGTGAGCTGAGAGAGGGAACCGGCAATCTGACACTGAACCATTGGGTGGCACGTGAAACAAGGGCTGACTCAGACGACAGTAGAACCGTCGATTGCCATGGCAGTGAGCACAAATAAGATTTATTGAGAACAGATTTTTTCATTCAGTTCAAGTATCTCATCAGTCTGTGGTGAATGGACACTCTCTAAACTGTTTATTCGGAGCCAATTGTATTCTCTGCCACGAAATAAGTGGTTGGGTTCATGAAAAGTTGGTGATAGGGCAATAGAATTTGAAAATCTTTATAAATTAAAAACATTGCACATTTTTCATTCATCTACTGCTGCTGCGCTCAGTTCGCATAGTAATATCTCAAGTTGCTATGTATTTGCTTTGACATGTCTTCAATCTATCCTGCTATTTTCACTTCCATTCAGTCAGAAAGAAAATCACTGTATAGCACAGTGGTAGATCAACTGATCAAAGCCGGCCTGGCCTATCCCTGTTTTTGTTCATCCGAGCGTTTGGAACTGTTGCGCAATGAGCAGCGTCGTCGGAAAGAAAATCAACGATACGATAATCGGTGTCGTTCCATTCCATCATCGGAAGTTCAACGACGAATCCAGTCCGGCGAGTCCTACACAGTTCGCTTCAAAGTAGGCTACACATTTGTAGTTCGTTATAACAAAACCGTGTTTCACTTGACTGCCGCCAAGTCATTTTTTCGAAACTCGTTTTCATCTCTTTTTAATGTTGTTCTCTGTCGTTTGGCTTAACATATACGGGTTCTTTGGCTAAAATGATTTCCGTTGGAATCAGTATTCCACGAACTGGTATGTAACTGACGTTTTGGTTAACTCGCTTGCAGAGTACATCGTGCGCTTTGTGTGATTCATTTGACACATTGCGACTGGGCGGCTGTATCATTCTACTTCTGTTTGTACAATCCACTCTTAAAGGTTTCTAAGGCATGATCTGTTTAATATGCTGCATATTTCTTCACTAAAGGGATGCACTCCAAATGTGAAAGGAGAATTCCCTATACGGTACGAATAACCCACCTGAACCAGCAATACCATCGTTGACAAGTGTTTCTCAAAATGCGCTGTGTTCTGAACAAAGAATGTAAGAAGAAATGTTTGATGAGGGATTCCCTCACTGCACGCACACCATTGACTGCGTTTTGGAGCTATATAGGTTAGAACGGAATGGTGAATAAAATCATTTTCGATTACTCATTGTGCCAATCATTTACGGTTTTCTTCTGCAATGGTAGTTACTATCACGAGTTTAGTTCAACAAAAGTGATCTTTGGAATGCATGTTTAGAGAGGGCTGAATAAGACTATTTTACTTTGTCAATTAGACGGTGCATTTAGTCGTGCTCCGTGTTTGTTTAAGAATTTATCAATTCTGTTTATGGTTAAAAACGAAGTGTCCAAGTCTGTCATCGAATTCTCTGTTCGTATGTCTCCACTCTAGATATATGGAGCTGTGCCCTATGAGGTGCCGGTTGATTCAATTGTCAACCAACACCCCAGGGTGTGTATCCGTCTGTGTAACTCAATCTTGTCTGTTGCATCACTTCCCTGACACTCAACCCTCTCTCACTCGTTTCCACTCTTGTCAGCCGCACTCGCACCACAGCGTTTCACAATTCCGTTGTATCTTACCTTTCACGTTTGTTGGTTTTCAGGAAACGAATGTCAAACAAACTAATACAGTCTCATGTAAATTTTAATGCTGCAGTTTTCTACATTTGCTACGCGTTCTCGGTTCCTTCTCATTATTTACTATTTACCATTGGTCACAACTTTAAATTCATTTTAATAGCATTTATACCCAAACGAAAGTGTAACATTTTCACTGAAAATTCTGTCCACAATGGAGAAATAAAGAGCACTTTTGACTTGACCTGAATAACCTACATCAATTGTCTGATCGGACCATTGTTCGAAAGCGTACGTGAACACCGCTCTGTTTGGCTAAACACTAAAACCATTACAATCGTTGGACAACAGTCGTCCTATTCTGGAACTTACTTCGCGTTCCTGGCAGAAGATTCCTTACGTTTTTGGCGCAAAGCACTTTTTCACCGCTTCTCAATTCCTCATCCCGTACAGTATTAAGATATTTTCCACTCTTCTCCTCGATTGTAGTTATGTCTGTTGCAGACTCCCTCTCCTTTGTTATTTTTGCTAATTTTACCCTTTCATCCAGTATTTAACCTCGTGGCTGCCTCCTTGCTCCCTTCTGTACTTACATTTGGCCACGAGTCCCAGATGTGCTTTGTAGTTATCACGTTTGTGAAGTTCTGTCGAACGGTGGTGATCCGATCGTTCAGGTTTTCAAGAACCATGAGATCGTGACGTTTTCCCTCCCATATGTAAAGTCTGCATTCTCAAGCAAATTCAACAAGCTGTTGTTTATATACGTGTCCTCCATTTCCAGTCTCTATGATTATGGGGTTTGCTCGTTCACTATACTGCCTTACTTCCACATGGGACAAACCTTTAGGTCGGAAACAAATCCTACCGTGGAGGTGACTGGAACATTTAGCCCTGTTGTATATGCAGTTATGTCATTATCCTATTTGCATCCGCAGCAGTGTGAACCCGCCTCCATAACCTTTTGTGTTAAGAGACAAGCAAAGCGACTAACACATCGCATACCCCTTACGCATTGTATCGATTGAACTGATAGTGCACAGACCTCATTATGCACCAATGGAGATGGGCTTACTCACCATTCTTTTTTCACGGGTGCTTTTACTGGTGTGCCCATATTCCTCTATGGGATAGATAAACGATCAATTGTGAAAAGAGGAAACCTGTCGGTATTATTTTGCAACTCAACTGGTAGAGCTTAGATGACGTCTGTACATACCACAGAGGCCACTAATTCTTTCACGATACACTAAAATGTATCCTCAATTTGTTCTTAACTGGCCACCCTTCAAAAATCACACTGAACACAGTTCAGCCAGTAAACCATGCTCTCGGGAAGCGCAGAACTCATGTTTTATTATCGTTAAAGCTCATCGGTAATCCACATAAGAAGTATGTGCATTATCAGTTTGCCAACTGTATCACGCCGAGGTTGACCACAGTTGTGAGGTTCAGTTTATTCAAATTTCTTTGTCAGAGTTATTCAGTCGGTTGGTCGCTTGGCAGCGATGAAGAGAACTGGTACTTTATACCTTTCTTATAAGGAATCTGGATTCCTCATCCATGATAAATCGGTTGATATGCGTTACTGTAACATCAGCAGTACTCAAATATCGTACCGTGTTTCTCCCATTATAATGTGATGGAACGTGGTACAAAGAGAGCCCCGGCTAGCGAACGAATCAAGAATAGGGCCCGTCCAACAAGAT